GTTCCCTTACTTCCTGTGGGAGATGCTGATTATCGCGCGGATGCACTCAAGACTACTTTTGCTATCAAGCATGTAATCAGCAAGACTGCTGATATCTTGGGAGACGTGCAAGTCTTTCGGGCTGGGCGATTGAATGTGTACAACGCGTTGGATTTGGACGACGTTGTTCATGAAGTTTACCTTGCAGCCGGAGAACGTAGCTAAAATCATATGTCTCCCGGATCTCCCTGAAGACTGCTGATATCTTGGGAGATGTGCAAGTCTTTCGGGCTGGGTGATTGAATGTGTACAACGTGTTGGATTTGGACGACGTTATGTTCATGAAGTTTACCTTGCAGCCGGAGAACATAGCCAAAATTGTATGTCTCCCGGATCTCCCTGAAACTGACTTGACCATCTGTTGGGTAGGTAGATAAAACGCCATTATAGTTTGGTTTCAGTGTCTTCTAGAAGCACAGTTTCTTCATCAGTTCTGGATCCGGATTTGTTCAATTGCCTGCGTATTCTTGCAGGTTGGAGGGGAATCATGTAAGGAAACACCAACTCTAATCGCCTGCTTCTTCCTCTTGCTCCCACCAAGGGAGAGCAACCGGTCCCAGTATATCCCCTTGTACTTGCTATGCTGGAGTCCACCGTGATGCCCAGTGTGTTTAACGAGAAACTTCCTTTGGCAACCATCGTTTCAAACTGGATGTTCCACGCCCACGTTCGAACTGGATGTTCCACGCCCACGTTCAAACTGGATGTTCCACGCCCACGTTGACCTACGTTTCGCATTTTGCGGTTGTGTGGCGGATGTTACTCTGGCTCACAAAATTGCATAGTACAGGGGGCCATCCCGAGGGATCACTCCTTCACATGGAGTTGTGTGGAAGACGGTGTCAGGGAAGGCGGAACGACTCACAATTATATTATGGGTTTCATTATACCGCTGAAGGATAAGGTCGGATCCGATGCTTACACCGTCAGGACCTCCCTCGGCAAGCTGATCATGGCCGTAGCCGGAGTGATAGCTTTCTTCGGATGATGTCTCATCATGCCTCCACTCCTCTGCATAAAGTGGTATGCCTCCAAGGAAATTGGTAGCGAATGCTCCCCAGTCGATGGAAGCTTCCGGCTCACTGTCGGTGGTGGAATCATCTCTGCCCATCAGGGGCGGGACTCCATCGACTTGATGGTGCTGGAAGTGGAACTGCAATGACCCTGCCGCGCTGGCCTGGGAGGCTTGGCTTGACATGGGGAACTGCTGAAAATTCGACTGGCTCGTAGGGGGTGGAGGGACTCCACTGAATCCACTCCTGCTCGAAGAGTCTCCAGCTGGAGCTGGAGCTGGAGCTGGAGCTGGAGCTGGCGCCGTCACCACTGTGTGGCACCCTTGAAGCAGCTGCATCGTGTTGATGATACTGCGGCATGAAGGACTTCTTATGCCATTGAACTTGTTGATCGCCCATTCA